CCAGTGTTGGACCTTATAAACAATCAGTTCCACACCCGGTCCACACCAACAAGCCTAAGCAGCTTCACAAGACATGCCACTGCGACCCCTTGAGGGGGTTTTAAAAATAATAATGCGCCAAACATGCCTAAAAGTCAGGACTCTCCCGATGGATGGCCATGTTTTCACCAATAGCGACGTCTTGAAGTTCCTAAAAGAAGGCGCCGGCATTAAATAGGACACTGGGCTTTATTAATCGAAGCGTTAGTAACAAGACACCTGGTGTGGTTCTTCAGCTATATCTTGCTCTGGTTAGGCCCCATTTAGATTATGCAGTTCAGTTTTGGTCGCCGTACTATAGAATGGATATAAATTCACTTAAACGTGTCCAGCGTAGGATGACTAAGTTAATTCCCCAAATTAGAAATCTTTCATATGAAGAAAGATTAACAAAGCTAAAGTTGCATTCACTGGAAAGGCGAAGAGTTAGGGGTGACATGATAGAGGTTTACAAGTGGATGAATGGACACAACAAAGGGTAACTCAAATGGAGTAACTCAGATCATGTCGATGATATTTTGTTTCAGGGCAAAGATATTTCAAAGGTTCAAACAGTGTTGGACAATTTCGGAAACCTGTGTCACCATATGGGACTGGTTGTTAATGAAAACAAAACTAAGTTTGAATGTAGAAGTCGGAGGCCCATTATATTGAAAATAAATGGTAAAAATATAGAGAGTTAATATATATAAATATTTAGGAATATATGTTGGATATACCCATGAGAGTTTGGAAGCTGAGATGAACAGACTGTTGGGTCAATGTCGGAAGAGATTACAACCTCTGAAGGCCTTGGCATGCTGTGGAAAGGGAGTGGGAGTCCCTGTGCTACGAATGTTATACTTGAGTACTGTAAGATCTCTTATTGATTATGCTGCACCTGTCATTTCTTGTTTTGGTAAAGGTAGGATGGGCAAATTGGAGAAGGTACAAAATGAAGCCATGAGAATTATCTTAGGATGCCCAAGAAATGCTATGATTGAGATAATGAGGATGGAGTTAAATCTGCAGAATATTGGGGATAGAATTGCAGAGATAAATGTAGCCTCTGCCATTAGATTAATGAGAGGTGGGGGAGCTAATGAATTAATCCTCTCGGTTCAAAAGGTGGGAAGTAATGAACAGTGTATGATGAAGAAGAGAGTATATATGAATAACTTATGTTCTAATGTTATAAAGTATGATGTTATCACAGAGTGTATTGCTGTGCCCAAGAGAAAATTCACACCATCATGGGAGGATTGTAATGTAGATGTAGTAATTACTCCCTTGCAAAAGAAAAAAGTATGTATGAAATAGGAGAGCTGAGGGCAACATATGATTGTATAATTAGAAAACTGCCTACAGAAAACCCTCTACATGTATATTGTGATGGGTCAGTAGCTAGGGATGGGAAGGCAGGATGTGGAGTCTTGATCAGGGAGTACACTGACATCGGCACTGTAGACACTGTTATTGGACGCCGCTTAACTGACAATGTCTCTTCAACGCAGCCTGAACTCCAAGGTGTATTAGCAGGATTATAGGAAGTAGTCAAATGTGGTAAAAATGCTTGCTTCTTTATTGACAGCAGAGGAGCGTTAGAGTCTTTAAATAGCAGACGCCCAGTATACCAGAATATTGTGATAGTGTAGAGAGAATATTAAGAAATTAGAAAAAACTGGGTATAAATTAAGATGGATCCGTTCACATGTGGGAATACTGTTGAATGAGGTAGTTGATGACATAGCGAAGAGAGCCACGGAAAAAACTCTTGTTGATGTTGTATGTCAGTTAACCTTGAAACAAATAAAAACAAGAATCAAGATGATCCAAGAGGGTGAAGAAATGATAAAGAGAATGGCAATGGTGGACAGTAGTAACACACTTAAGAATTATTCAATAATAAATACAAATTCGTTCTTCACTTATGGTAAAGGAAAGGTCTACTTGGAAGGATTCAATTTACATGAGATTAAGATTAGGATACAAATATATCTGGCAATACGGTGTTGATGTCAGTGAAAAAGATAAGGAGTGTAAATTATGTAGTATGCCGCACGCCCACACCTTAGAACATTATGTATTAGAGTGTCAACTTATTGATAACTATAGAAATAAGGAAATAAATAGTGTACCACATCAAATTGTTTGGATGTGTGATAATGGTGTGATAGACAGTATACTTAGGAGCTACAAGAATTTTGCCCCAAGAGTGTAACACTTATATGCTGTGCTTACTATATTAACCTGCAATGTTAAATGAACATAAGAACAAAGGCAACTGCAGAAGGCCTATTGGCCCATACGAGGCAGCTCCTATTTATAACCACCCAATCCCACTCATATACTTGTCCAACCCACGCTTGAAACAATCGAGGGACCCCACCTCCACCATGTTACGCGGCAATTGGTTCCCACAAATGGGATTCTTGTAATGTTATTTGTCTATTTGTACTCACTGAATTTGTGCGCCCCTTGAGGGACTTGAAGTAGAGAGGGGTAGAAATAGCCTAAGCTACTCTATCCCTTTGAGATGTATTTCTTGCTTATCTCAACAAACATACTTGAACTTGAACACAACAAAGGGGATATTAATAGGGTATTAAAAGTATCAACACAAGACAGAACACGAAACAATGGGTGTAAATTGGATAAATTTATATTTAGGAAAGACTTGGGTAAATACTGGTTCAGTAACAGGGTTGTTGATTTGTGGAACCAATTACCGCGTAACGTGGTGGAGGTGGGGTCCCTCGATTGTTTCCAGCGCGGGTTGGACATGTACATAAGAACAAAGGCAACTGCAGAAGGCCTGTTGGCCCATACGAGGCAGCTCCTATTTATAACCACCCAATCCCACTCATATACATGTCCAACCCATGCTTGAAACAATCGAGGGACCCCACCTCCATAATGCCACGCGGCAACCGGTTCCACAAATCAACAACCCTGTTACTGAACCAGTATTTACCCAAGTCTTTCCTAAATCTAAACTTATCCAATTTATACCCATTGTTTCGTGTTCTGTCTTGTGTTGATACTTTTAATACCCTATTAATATCCCCTTTGTTATGTCCATTCACCCACTTGTAAACCTCTATCATGTCACCCCTAACTCTTCGCCTTTCCAGTGAATGCAACTTAAGCTTTGTTAATCTTTCTTCATATGAAAGATTTCTAATTTGGAGAATTAACTTAGTCATCCTACGCTGGACACGTTCAAGTGAATTTATATCCATTCTATAATATGGCGACCAAAACTGAACTGCATAATCTAAATGGGGCCTAACCAGAGCAAGATATAGCTTGAGAACCACACCAGGTGTCTTGTTACTAACGCTGCGATTAATAAATCCAAGTGTCCGATTTGCCTTATTACGAACATTTATGCATTGATCCTTTTGTTTTAAATTCTTACTAATCATAACTCCCAGATCCCTTTCGCAATTCGACTTCGCAATCTCAATACCATCTAGCTCGTATCTTGTAACCCTATCATCATTACCTAACCTCAGAACTTTACATTTATCAGCATTAAACTGCATCTGCCAATCCTTCGACCATTTCAAAACCTTATCTAGATCAACTTGAAGTGATAGTGAGTCCTCCTCCGAATTAATTTCCCTACCGATTTTCGTATCATCGAAATGATTATCATGTATATGATTGGGATTGGGTGGTTATAGATAGGAGCTGCCTCGTATGGGCCAATAGGCCTTCTGCAGTTACCTTTATTCTTATGTTCTTATGATTGTTTCAAACGTGGGTTGGACATGTATATGAGTGGGATTGGGTGGTTATAAAGAGGAGCTGCCTTATATGGGCCAATAGGTCTTCTGCAGGGCTATTGGCCCATACGATGCCTCTACATATATGAGGCAGCTCCTATTTATAACCACCCAATCCCACTCATCGAGGGTCCCCACCTCCACCACGTTACACGGTAATTGGTTCCATAAATCAACAAACCAGTATATACCCTAAATCTAAATTTTTCCACTTTATACCCATTGTTTCGTGTTCTGTCTTGTGTTGATACTTTTAATACCCTATTAATATCCCCTTTGTTATGTTCATTCATCCACTTGTAAACCTCTATCAAAGGTCCCCTTATTTTCCCTATTATGTTCCTCTGTAATTGCCTTTTCCATAAGAAATCAACTAAATTCAATCTTCGTTCTCGACTCACAATCAGGGATCGGCTCCTGGGTCTGTGCAGGATAAATTTTTGTGCATATTTCCTATCACCTGGTGCAGCTGTTCACCTAGTTGTGGTTGCGGGGGTTGAGCTCTGGCTCTTTGGTCCCGCCTTTCAACTGTCAGATTCCTGAGCCTATACTGGGTTCTATCAAATATACGTTTGAAACTATGTATAGAGTCAGCCTCCACCACATCACTACTTAATGCATTCTATTTGTTAACTACTCTGACACTAAAAAAAATTCTTTCTAATGTCTCTGTGGCTCATTTGGGTACTCAGCTTCCACCTGTGTCCCCCTTGTGTGGGTTCCACCCGTGCTAAAGAGTTTGTCCGCCCTGTTAATTCACCTGAGAATTTTGTAAGTAGTTATCATGTCTTCCCTTACTCTTCTGTTTTCCAGGAATGTCAACAACACCTCATTGGTGAGGTGAAGTGATATATATCGATATATAGGAGGTGATTCCCGATATAAATTGGTAACCGGGAGTTGGGCAACGTGTGGATTTCATCCTGGGAAAGATTAATAGTTGGAAGGGACCTTAATATAAGCTTAAAGAGTATTATATATATAAGAAGAGTATTATATATATATAAATATAGGCTTCCTGTCCCCAACAACGAGAATTACTATTATTTAGATATTTAGATATCGTGGTGGTGGCGGGAGTGTGGACCCCGTGGCTCGCCTCCTTCACATCCACTACCATCCTACTCCTCCCTCATCTCGCTACTCCTTTATCATATATAAATTACACTCGTTTTCCTCGTTAATAAAAACGATGGTAAATTCTTCACATATTGAGATGATTGTTAGTAAGTTGGTGAAGGAGTGAGTGAGTGCGTTGTGAGGGAGGTGAAGGAGAGGCAGGTGGTGAGGTGTTGTTGACGCGGCCGCCATCTTGTGAGGTGCTGCTGCTGCTGGCCGTGCTCCGTCTTGGCCTTCCTGGCCAGCCTCTCCTCATGTACGCAGCCTCCCGCTCTACACACTAACCCTCAGGTAAGACCACTAGTCCTTGCTCGCCCGATATTGAAGCCAATTGAGCGGTTTACGGGGATAATCTTGGGGGTGGAAGCTTGGGGTGGTGAAAGTTGTCATGGTTGACCAAGTGTCGGGTTGGCATTGAACGTTTGGGAACAGTTGCAATATTGTGTTGCATATTATCTGCAGCTCTTAAAGTACAGTTTTATGTGTCCTATCATTTTGCTTTACATTGTGTGTGTTTATGATGTGTTCCATTGAAATTTAGGATATTAGGAAAATTCTGGTTATGTAGTTTCTAGTACAGTACACGTAAATATTTTGCCTGGTCTAATGGTGTTGAAAGTTACCTCAACAGTTTGTAAGTAATCCAATTAAACGTGTTTTGTTGATGTTTCTACTCTCGTGACTTTCAAGTGTGTAAATACTGAGGCAGACATGGAGCTGGTCTGACCTACTGGTCGAGTCCTACTACTCAGGCATCTTGACAAGGCTCATTTTCTATTTGTCAAAACTGTATATCGTTCCAATAACTGTATTAGCTCTGATTATTCTCAGTTGTGTTGGGTAGGTTAGGGTAAAGTAAGTTTGGGCGTGGTTGGCTTGGGTAATCTCTGCACTTCGCAGGCAATTTACGCAACAACCAGCTGCTGCACAAGAAAAATTAGATTAAGAATATTTTGTTTCAAAACTATATAGAATTATGTAGATTGCTTTGACTGTGGTAAGGAGAGAGGAATACATTAAGGTGGTCTGGTGGGTCCAAAGCATAGTGTCAGTGTTCCCAACAATACTGAAATCTGCAACCCACATGTTGCGTTTCCACAATGGTCGCTCTAGTTAAAATCAGCGAATGTATTTTATCGTTCAAAATTTCCCCATAGATATGAAGTCCCCATGGTGCAGTCCCCACTTAAGGGGCCATTAGAGTAATTTATTAAAAGTTGTGCAATGTCAACCGATATTTTTTTGACTAGTTGTATATGAAAAGGGCTGCAATTGTTCCATATTTCAGTACGGCATCATCCCAGACGCTGCCTTAATCGAGCTGTGTAGTGTTTTGTAATGTAATCGAGTGTAGTGTTTTGCAATTTTGGCTTAATAAGTTATCAAGATGTTTTCAACAATATTCTCAGTATAATAGCCAACGCATGAGTTAACCCAATTGACAATCTGGTCAGATTCTGACAAGGGTTTGACCATCAGCATGCTAGTCGGCTGATAACTCCACCTGACTCGCCACAATACTGTAATGGGCCTATCTCTAACTCTAGGCACAATTTTATTAGAATTCTGGATACTAAATCCTGAATATGAATAATTTTGCACAAACAAACCACATTGTGATGTATATCACCGAGAAAATTCACAAAGACTATGAGGTGGTACGAACGTATGACCAAGGCATTGCCAGTCACATACTCTACCACTAGACCACCGCTGACTTGTAAGTCATACCTACAGGATCTCTACATAAATTACAGTAAGTCTAGAGGCCCCTTCTGAAGCCAGTCTAAATTCTTATGTATGGCCCACAAGCACTCAGGTGGAAGGGCAGAGTGGTCCCACACTTCAGAAACACCTTACCCACCAACTTCAAAAACACAGTAGGGCTTCAGTAGAGAGGGCCTTCAGACTAACTGTGATTTCAGTAGAAATTCTGTAGGACTTTTACAAGTCTCGGTGGTCTAGTGGTAGAGTACGCGACTGGCAGTGCTGGCGTCGTGAGTTCACACCCACCTCACTGCTGTAGTGGATTGGCTGCTTACCACTAGGACCTGCTTCTGGCTCACTGCTTGATTTTCTCACTAGAAATTGTTCCATAGAAGTTCCGTCCATTGTTTTTTCCCTTTGCAACACTTTGTCTGTAGTGAGGCATCGCATTGTCATTAATAAGATCAATGAAACGACCTGCTACAGCTTTATCTGGGTGATTCTTTTCAGCAAAACTTTGCAGTACTTCTCATAGTGCACATATTTTCTTAATTAATGAGGAAAGGACATCTACTGCCGCCGCCTCCTGCTCCCCTGAAGATTTGTTGTACTGCCTAGCTAGTTCAATAACACGAGTACCATTTTCATGTTTACGAATGATCTCTTGTTCTTCCTCTATGGTCATTCTTACATGTGTTTTCATATGTTGAACCTTACCACTGACTTTCTTGGGACCCATGGTGTGATATATGATAATCAGTTTTATGTTCAAGAAGAAAAGAAAATGGAATTTCTTATAAGCGTGATCGTCACTAAGCGGGCGGCTCTAGTAAACCGAAGCAGGTCAGCCCGCATGACCGGGAACAGTGCGCTCGGTCGACCCGAACGTGTATAGATGAATATCGTTAGTCAACGACACTATCATAAGTTGAGTCGCATTTTTCGATCAAATTTATATTGTAACTAAAGTATCGTAAGTCACTGTATATTATATATTATATTTTGTAATTTTTAAGTGATGTTGTGGACATGAGGTGAACATGAGTGCTCTTAGCTCGTGATGCTTCTGCCACCCTTCTGCTCACTTGCTTCCAACTAGGAAGTGTCTACTATTTGTTTGTTTAAATGACATTAATTTACTGGAAGCCTGAGACAGCTGATGTGAGTCTTGTATTCCTGTAGGAGTTTTAAATCCTATGAGGTGTTAAATCATCCCTAGATAACAGATACGCCGCGATCATTCCCGAATGATTTGCACAGCAGAAACGTTAAAAATGATAGGATTAAATGATAACCCGGCCCGAGGTCAGGCTTGACTTGCAAGAGCTTGGTGGACTAAGCTCTCACAAGTCAAACCTGGCCTTGGGCCAGGCTTGGGGATTAGAAGAGCTCCCATCAACTATCCAGAACCCCATCAAGCAGGATAAAATTGCTCAAGGAATACACTGAGAGAAAAAGTAAGAACTAAAACCCATATAAATTTATCAAGAGGAACAAATGACACTTTAGATCTTTAACCCCTGGGCAGTGCAGCTATTAATGGCCGACACCTGTATTCCAAAAGTTATATTGTAAAGGAACATGAGAAGTCATTTCAAGGACCAAACATTGTTAACATCTTGGAACAGCATTGTGTTCACTGATATCTGAATATTGCTCAGTCTGACTCTTTTGTAATACTATTATCCCTAAATAATAGCAGTTACATATATATTTTGACTTTTTAAGCAATGTTGTGGTCAGAAGCCAAGCTTGAAGAGAGTTTGGTCCACCAGGCTGTTGGTTGATACCTGGTTGATGGGGTTCTGGGAGTTCTTCTACTCCCCAAGCCCGGCCCAAGGCCAGGCTTGACTTGTAAGAGTTTGGTCCACCAGGCTGTTGCTTGGAGCGGCCCGCAGGTCCACATATCCACCACAGCCCGGTTGGTGCGGCACTCCTTGGAGAAATAATCTAGTTTTATCTTGAAGATGTTTGGAGTTGTTCCGGCAATATTTCTCTGATTGTGCTTATCAATACAGCAGCAGTTTAGGCAATTGGCTGTCAGGCATTCTGACAATGTGGCCTGAGTTTTTTGTGGGACGCTGTGAATACTGGCCCCTTCCAGGACCTCCGTGTCAGGGATTTTGTCCTGGCACCTAATGTGTAGGAGTCTGCAGGGACAGCTCAAGTGAAAGTGATTGAGCTGTTTGGCGTGTCTGCTGTAGATAGTCCAGGTCTCGCTAGCATAGAGAAGAGTGGCGAGTACCACACCATGGTAGACCTGTAGTTTGGTGGCAAGGCTCCTCCGCTCTCAGATATGTATTATCATATCTATAATCATATCACGGATTGAATATGTACTGCACTGTTGCCCTGTCCTCCAACTTCTCCCAGAATGCTTAAAAGATATGACTTTTTTTTAAGGAGTATCTAATCAGTTACAGGGCCCATGCCAAAGAGAGCAACCTTGATTTCCTTGACCCGACCACACTAGAAAGTGAAGGGATGACAACGTTTCGGTCCATCCTGGACCATTCTCAAGTCGATGAGACGATGAGACTTGATTTCTTTAGCTGTAGTCTCTTTACTATAGCATACCACAGAGAGCAGCATTCAGGAGTCACAATAACTTTGCTGAAGATATGGTGACCAAACCACACATCAGAAAGTGAAGGAATAATGACAATTTGGTCTGTCCTGGACCATTATCAAGTCAATTTTTCTTCTAAATCTATATTGCCTCTTTATTACAAAACTTTTGGTCTCCAAGTGATTTATTGCTATATTTTCTCTGATTACATTCTCCAGTACTTTGCAAATTATACTGGTCAATAGTTTAGTGCACTAAACTGTCTCCCTTTTTGAACTTTGGGATTGTATTTGCCGTTTTCAAGGCAAATGAACCACTCCAGTCAGTGGTTCTTCGGGCTACTAAATGAACCATAAACTGGTTCTTCGGGCTGCTGTCATCTCATATCATTCAGGTTATTGGTCTTTGTTGTTTGTCATACTCCTCACTGGTCTTCTGGTGTTTGATGAGGGGGATATTAGCACTAACCAAAGATGCCATGAACAGTTTTATAGAAACGTAAACGATATATGTATGTAAACGATATATACGCACAGAATAGCGGCAGCCAGGAAAATGATTGGATGGATTTCAAGAACATTCCGATCCAGGGATCCCACAGCAATGCTAATACTATTTAAATCACTGGTACTGTCCCATCTTGAGTACTTAGTACACACACTTCCCCATTCAGAGCAGGAGAGAGTTCAGAAATAGAGGGAATACAGAGAACATATACGGTATGCATAGACTTGATAACCCGCCAAACAGACAAGGAAACTACGACATTACTCATTCAAAAAAGTTGTAACAACCAATCTAACAAGTAGCAACAATGTTCTAATTTGTCTACAAAAACTTTCTAACAAGATGTAACAAGGGGAAAATATGGATCTCATTACATTGTGTATTTGCAGGGAAAGCATCTAAATTATTGTGACCGTCTCAAAGTTCCCAAAATATACTCTGGAAAGGAGATGAGAGGTATCAAATAATATATTCATGGAAGATATTGGAAGGCCAGGTCCCAAATTTGCGCAGTAGAATAATCTATTGGAGCAAAAGATATGGATGGAAATGCAGAATAGAACCCATGAGAAGTATGTGCCATAGGCAGAATCAGAGATCACTGTCTGAACATCAGAGGCACACATCTGTTCAATATACTCCCAGCAAGCACTAAAAATATTACTGGAACAAAGGTTAAAGTCTTCCAGATGCATTTACACAAGTTCTCACAAGATGTGCCAGACCAGCCGGGTTGTAGTGGATGGATATGTGGGCCTGCGGGCCACTCCAAGCAACAGTTTGTTGGACCAAGTTGTCACAAGTTGAGCTTGGCCCAGGCTGGGCTCGGAGTAGAAGGATTCCCAAAATTCTTTCCAGACATGCTCCGGTTAAATTGTCCACGCTCACTTGTACATTCGGACTATATGGGAAAAGACCCCTCCTTGGATAAGCCATCTATATAAGCAGAGTTCTCACCGGGGTAGTCCAAAAATGAACATACCTGTACTTGCAAATTTTAACCAACATATTAGTAGTTTGAATTTCCACATGCACACTATAAATCAAAACTATAATTTAAAACAAACTTCAGGTTGCCTTCTTGTAGGTCATCTTGTTTGATACTGTAGAACTTAAAAAATTATGTAAACTAATCTCCAATTATCCAGATTTATGTTCAGATACAGTGAAGTTTTGGCAGAAAATTATCCAGACGTTATTTTTGCTGAATAACCCAAATATCTGGTTCAGCAAGCTTGGGGTAACCGAGCTCATGCAAAAAGAGTGCCTTGCTGTTTCACATTTTAAAACCTATGTTTGGACTTTTTATCGATGAGGTGATTTCTGCAAAATGTTGGGAGTATGTGAGTTTGTTGAACAGTCAATGATTCAGAATGCAACATTACTCTTTACCATACTTCCACCAATTTTCATTTTTCTCCCTCAAAACCTGTTGACCTGTGCACAATGCACTCTTGTTATTGGGATCTGGTTTGCTGTCCTGTGGGTTGTAAATAGTCAGTGCAGTAACATGTAGCCCTTGGTAGTCAATCTGGTAAAGTGTGCTTCATTGTTGGTCTGGCTATGGTTTAACTAGACACTTGCAGTTTTGTCTTGGTGTACTTTTCCAGTGACTGAAATACCGTTAGTTTTCACCAAGTACATGTAATGTGCATTCGGCATTATAATGCCTATCCAGTAAGTTCATATACTATTTTAGACTTGGGTAGGCATTCCACTGCCCGATCATCATGTCACATTTGTTTATCAAACACATTTATTTTGTAGTCTAGGATGGCTTTTGGTTTATTGACCTTTTTGCTGGTCTGCTGTGAATTATTGTTAACTTGAACACCTCATGCCCATCATACCACATCAATGCGAGCATTTTGTCAATTTTTTCTAAGCTAGCAGTTACCAGTACTAATGTTCTCGCTGCTCAAAAAATTGGCCTTTGCTTTCTTCGTACCTTCACTGTGCCACATTGCGGTTTTTGGTTCAAGAGTAACTGGACAGGCTGAGCCTGGTATAATAATTATCAGTGTACAAAGTGTCCCTTGTTCATTGCTGTAATATAATAAACTGACCTTCTTTTTACAGGATGTCTGTACACTACAAATTTAAGTCGGCGGTGGAGTATGACACATTGCCCGTGGATGGTGTACACATCAGTCTCGAGGATCTGAAAGAGGCCATCATACAGCAGAAGAGACTTGGACGTGGGCAGCCATATGACTTGCAGATAACCAATGCAGAAACTAAAGAAAGTAAGTTGGCAGCTTCTGTTGCATGCATTAGGCAAAATTCCAATACTGGAAATCATTTAAGCCAGGGAAAACCCTAAGAACAACAACATTGTGGAACAAAATTCTTTAGGTAGCTTCTCTTTAAAGCACAGTGAGGTTAAGATAAAAAGATGTACTCGCATATCTGTGCTCGCAGGGATTGAGTTTCAGCTCTTTGGTCCCAAGTACATAGTCAGTGTATCACATCCTATATGCAGACATTAGATACAGTATATACTCTCTCCTCACCTCACTTGCATAATATCCTGAACTTTTATTTAGGCCAAATTTGGAGTGGAACAGTGTATCTGCAGTTAGTGTAATAATTATGTGAATAGAGTATTGCTTTCTCTCTCTCTCAAATATGGCTTTGTGAAATGGTTGAATGAATTAAGTCTTTATTACTTAAAATAATTTAATAATTCAATTTGTATTCAAATAAAATCCATGAGTTAATTTGAAACATTTTATTTTCAGTATATACAGATGACAAAACGCTGATTCCGAAGAATTCATCGTTGATCGTTGCAAGGGTCCCCATCGACCCTGCACAGATGAAGAGGCCATGGTAAGTGTTTTCTTCTTCACTTTGTAATATAAATTTAGGCCAAAAGCTTAGCTGCATAGGTATCTGGGTTCACCCATCTGTAATTGAGGACTTGGTGGTAAATTGACTGGCAGGTTATGTTCCAGGGGAAACTAATAAGGTAAAGCTTACATGGGCAATGAGAAGGGGAAAGCTCTCGGCCTTCTGACAGGAGTCAGTCATCATCTATTGTATCTTCTCGTAAAAAAAAAGTTTTCTTGTTAAAAAAAAAACCACAATTTGGTTTTGTTATACACGTTTATATTTGTCTTTACTGTAATGAGGTTCAAAGTTTTTAATATTTGTGCGTAATTCTTTAGATGTTATTACAATGTATACTGATAACATTTCATTAAGTTGTATATTTTTGCCTTACAGGGAGAACAAGGAATCGACGGCACTTCTCTTATCCAACCCATCAAACCTGATGAACGTATGTAATAGTGGACCATCTGTGCAACTTTCTTTACCTCCTGCCGGGTAACACCTATTTATCTAGTTTATAAAGTGGATGATTCGGCTAAGGAGGGCATCAGCCAGTGCACCTTAACTGGTTTGGCGGGTCCTACCTTTATTATTATTATTGATTATGTTGCCGTTTTGCTGCTCTTGCATTTACAGCTTCGTATGTCTAGGATGGTATGAAACTGTCCTCATAATTTTTTTAAATATATTTAATATATATATACATATGCAGATTATAGTATATCTTATATATTTAAATATTTAGTTTTGACTACTTTGAAATTTTCTGTCATTTTTCTCTTGTATATTTGTAGTATTATTCCACTATAATTTTCCACATTGGAAACATATAACTAGCACCCACTCCATTGTGCAGGATTATAGAGGGTCTCTTATTTGCTACTATATTAACTGATTTACACTATTTAACCACTATAATTCTTAACAATTGGCATTTTATTAGGAGGCTTTCCACTTGTGTGGAACAGTTAATGAATAGTACACCTGTCATTCTTTATTTAGTAATATACATGCTTGTATGTTTTGTATGATCTAGCCAATAAAACTTTTACCCGAGGTGTGTGCTATTTGGTCAAACATTGCCATTACGTTTTGCTGGATTACAGCCAAGAGAACCCCAGTGTGTGGCTTTTCACTGAAGAATATGGAGTCTAGTATCTAAGGAGTCATTTACATCCCACAATACTCTGATGACGTTGATATTTCCGATCAAGTACAATGGTGCCTGTGTGTTTAAAGATGCGGTTCGCTTTTTCACCATATTATGTAACCTTCTTGTAGTTGCATTTGGTTCCGTCTGTAGTCTAGTTCGTTTTGTTTCTCTCGCCACATGCTACTAAATTTGTACATGATAAATATTTGTGTTGTAATTGAAATATGGCAATATTTTGATTGCATTTTTGAGTATTTATGTTATGAGAGCAGGGGTGATTTACAGAACAATGTATGACTTCCATAGAGAATAAGTCACAACAATGTGGCTTCAACTAATCCAACCCCAACATACGAACTAAAAAGAAAGTGACGATGTTTCAGTCAGTCCTGGTCACGACATAAGGGGCCAAGATGAACCGAAACGTTGTCACTATACATTTCATGTTGGGAGTGTATGACTTTGATAACTGTTTATTCTTTGACTGTCGGATACAAATGCACTTTATCCGATTAAGTAATTGATTCTTTTGGCAGTAACATTAAGGAAATGATAGTTAATCTACAGCAGTTGTCATTTACATTAACTTGATTTAAATAAAGGCATTGTTAAATATATTAATATGAGGGTGTTAAGAAATAGTGTTGACATTCTTAGTTGTTTAAAGTTGTGTTTCACTGTTGCACAAGTTCTATCAAAACCTTCATTGTTGACATCTTCAACAGCACTACACACACTGTGTAATATAACTTAAGTATGCACATGTAATTTATTTAGATAAGCCCACCACTAAATGTAATATTTCCTTTTTACTAGCTTCAGTATAGATTGTATAAGGATAACCTAGTATGAGCCATCTCTGTAGGTTTTGATAGACCACTGTTAATAATGCCTCAATAAATTGGATTGTGTATAAACATTGCATGTCAGTTCAAAGGCTCTTGTTCAACTCAAAAAAAGACATTGCTTAAATTATGCTATTTAAGTATTATTATATTTATGGTTTTCTAATTATGATATGTCTTTTGAAGCATTTTGAGTACATTAATATACTCCATTATACAGCAATTATTTCTTTGTTAATCCCCTGAATATATAAAATTTATCGTACCTAAGAGGGGAATGGTGTTGAAAGGGGAAGTAAATATGCGGGGCTTTCCTGTTGGGCAATGTGACGAGAGGCGTGGTTTGGGGTCTCTTCTATTCAAGAATATTTTGTTCAATGGATTATTATTTTGGGATGTTTTTTAAGCAATTTGATGAAGTTGTCTTCAAACTATAAGCACAACAGCTGATTTTTAATCCTTTTGGTTGCAGTAAAGAAAATGCAATTACTCTCTTGATGTCACATGTTGAAGAAAAGATTGAATATATAAAAATCTAAGTAATATTGCATGGCAAGTCTGTGATAGGGAATTAAGAGAGTAATTCAGTTACCACCTTGTGCTGATTGGGTAATTTCCATTAATATTAAGAAAGTTAAAATATCTTTGACAGTCCCCTATTACTATTTTTTTAGTGTTTATTATAACAAAATTCAGATTTGAATATTTTTACGGTAGAATCAATTGCATTTTGTCTTAACTAGTAAGCATCATCTCCCTAAAGTATATAAGCATTGAAAAATGCTTTTATATTCTAGAATTATTGTTAAAAATTTAATTTTTCACCTGGAGGTAAGAAAACAACCTGTGCAGATGTATGGAGAAGCGGAAAATGAATGTTTCCTTTAATGTGGAATCTCTTACTCATGTACCAGAAATGCAATGCAATATTATGAATTCATTCCAGTTTCTTCATATTCTAATATTTTTGGTAGTCATGCTTCCTAAATATTTATCATAATGTTGTAAATATCAACTAGCTGGTGTGATTTACATTGGCAGCCTTCCGTGTGAGCTCTCCTCCTTAAGTCAGCTGCAAGTGATCTTAGAAATTACTCCATTATCTGGCAAGAAAGTGGCCACATTCTATGGAAAGGAATTATTGCCTTATACTTAACCCTCTTAACCTCCCATGAAATATTACAATTAAAATTGTCTCAAAAATTCAAAGTAACGGTCACATGATTCCTAGGTGGTGGTTGCACAGAGTAAGATTACCACTTGAACGTGAGGTTTTAATTTAACAAAACTAAATGGTGGTTTAAGGTATGAAGTGAAATTATGTAAAGATTAGCTTTAATTACAACGTAACACTTTTCGAAAGGCTAACTTGAATTGTAAACCAATAATCATCCCATAATATTTATCCTTGACAAAAACAACACAGTACATTACTGTACAGTATTTGAAATAATACCAAGGGAATACATTAAGTAAAATTCCTGCATAATTTATATACATAATAGTTTGGAAAACAATAATTTTGAGCTTTAAATATCAAATAGATTTTGGGAATACATAATTCTCGGTGAGAATTTGTAGTTGTTAAATGGTATATTAAACATTTTTAAATATTTCTTTATGGGAATATAGCGCATATTTCTAGGCGAGGTTTGCAGCTCAAGACTCATTATATTGAGCACAACCAAAAGCATCACAAGTATTCAGTTGAAAATATTGCCCTGGTCTTGGTGAAATATGATAGAACTCTAAGTCATACTGCATCAGTCCCTGACAGCTCGGCAAGAGGAAGCAGCCGACTGAACATTTGTCCATGTTCGTACTGCAGTAATTAAATTGCATATTTAAATGTGAAAACAAAACCACTTTTGACTTGTATAACCTTATGTTAAAAGGTAAAGACATCTTTTATCAACCTGCAAATTTGTAAACATTTATCCCCCGGGCAAACGATGCTGTAATATTGAATCGATGTTGAATTTGTGTTAATTTACATTTCTCGTGCATATTTTGCCGGCTGGAAGTCGTTTCAAATAGTTGTTAATCGGGAAAATATTGAGAGGAATTAAAGAACTTAAGGAACTTTTATCAGCTTTGCTAAATTTGGCATAATAGGATTTTTTACCATTATTTTACATTTGTTAAAGTTTACAGTCTTATCACTGCAAATTAGGAAAAAGTTGGGAATTTGTTCTAAAGAAGTGTTGGAACTTGTTTCTAAAATATAGTTTCCAGTGGAATTCTGCTCAAACTAAAAAGATTAATTTTCGATCACTTCCGTTGCTCTGATCTATGCTATTTTTGGCTATTTTCTGTCCATGGTTATTTTGTCTGTTAGCACAAGTGACAGAATACCCATTTTGCATTTTTTAAAAAACAAGCGCTTATGAAGTGCATGTTTAATATTTAAGCTTTCGACACCATTCTTCCTGTGAATTGAGACTCCACTCAATCAGAACCTCCTTATTTACCATTGCATCTGTCATTGTTGATAGTTATATTATATCTACTTTTGTTGAACTATGTTCCATTCAGGCAGGGTCCCATTATGTAGTTTTTGGCCAATGCTTAACATCACACAAGTTTTTGGAAGAGTGATCAGAACTCCGATCTTCAGTTTCATGGAGATCAATGACTTTCACAACCCAGGTCAGCATGGATTTAAAGTGGGGTGATCATGCCTTTCAGTTACTTGACCACTACGACAAAATCATGGAAGGATTAGAAGAAAAATAAAATGCAGATGTGGTATACTTGGACATGCAAAGGCATTTGATAAATGAGATGGATTGATAGCCCATAAAATTAAATCTGTATGAATAATGGGTAAAGGAGGGTGGTGGATGCAGGTGATGAGTTACAATAATGTGGCTGAAGTATGTTGACCAATCCACACACTAGAAAATAAAGGGACGACGACGTTTCGGTCCGTCCTGGACCATTCTCAAGTCTATTGTGCTTATCGACATGAGAATGGTTTAGGGTGGTGGATATTAAATTGCCTCTCAAACAGAATGCAAAGAATAAGTCAATGAAACAAAATTTAATCTGAGAACAGTGAAAAGCTCTGTAACCCAGAATGCAGTCAGAGTACCCCTGTTTCTTCTCATTTTCTCATCAGATGTAAACCAAAATACAAATCACAGCTTTGTCATCTTTTGCAGGTGACAAAAAACAGCCTGAAAATTTCTTATAAGATATTGAAAAACTACAAGGTAATATTAATAGTCTTTGATTGGAAATAAAAAACATTTAAAATTCCAGGCATTTGAGTTTGGAAAAAAAACTTAGGCAAAATACAGGGGACAAAACACAATCAGATCTACTTGTAGTTGGAGAATAACGTGTAGGATTTGGTAATAATGATGTCTGAAGACCAAATGTTTAAGGAGCATAATCAACCAAATATATAGTCAGAAAAATTATTGGATGGATTGTGATAACTTACTA